CTCACTTGGCAAATTCTGGATTCGTCTCCGTGTATATATAATGAATAAAGCATTAAGTGTTCGTTAATTCTCCACTTTACAGCAAAAGCAAAGCACAGGGAGCAAAAGAGGTGAGGGAGGGGGATATTCATAAGATAAGCGTCGGCAATCTTTATTGGATTGTAGTGGGAAACCATTTGTCTGTATATGAAGTGGTAGGGAATGGATCAAATCAAGAGGTGATTAGTGGGGGTAGGGGGGTGCGCAGGATAAGCTGCGTTGAGCAGGCAGGAAGGCAAATCAGGTCTCAAACGTGGCCACTCACTCCCACTACTATATCTCTAATATCTAGTTGGCAACACCACAATTCCATCCTCGTCCCAGATGCTAACACCGCTACAACCTCAACTTGTTGAATTATGAAACACTGCTGCCTGTAGAAGCCTGCTCTTCGAACTTCCCAACTGGGCTCTGCTAAACTTGCTAATTTATTACTACTTTCTTCTTATATATAGTGCATTCCTGGTATCTTTTTAGTAATTAATTTGGTTGAGGGGTATACATATTAATCGTTTGGTAATGATGGCGGCACATTTACTGAGGAGGAGCTGGGGTAGCACTATCAGCTTGTTGATAGTGATTTTATTGCTATCCTGCAGCTCCCAAATGACATCCGCAGCAGCAGCACCTGCTTCAGGCAAAAGCAGCAGCAGCAGCATATCTATGTCTCAGCACAAAATGTTGGATGTTCACCAGCACTTGAAGCGCCTGAACAAGCCTCCTCTTAAAACCATCAAGGTCAGCTCCTCGTCCTACCTGATTATTTTTCTTTTTACTTCTTTCTCATCTCTAATCAATTCCCTTAATTCCCTTACTTTCTTCTGGTTGCTATCAATCTATTATTGCCTTTACCCTTTTCAAGTTGTTGGTCTTCATCATCCATTCGTTCAACTACTCTTGTAATAATTATTGCAAATCGTGTACTGTATAACAGAGCCCGGATGGAGATATCATCGACTGCGTCCATATTGCTCACCAACCGGCTTTTGATCATCCTCTGCTCAAGAACCATACAATTCAGGTAAGTCCACTGTTAATTGCGTGTGTGTGTAACAGCTAGCTAGCTACATAATTTATCTAGGTTGTTAATTAGCGTCCTGTGACTGGTTGCAGACGAGACCAAATTTCCACCCAGAAGGGACTAAGTTCGAGGAAAGCAAAAGGGTGTCTGCACAGAAAGCAACATCGTCAAAACCAATAACCCAGTTGTGGCACTTGAAAGGAAGGTGTCCTGAAGGAACTATTCCCATAAGGCGAACTAAAAAAGATGATGTATTAAGGGCAAGCTCCGTTGAAAGGTTTGGCAAGAAGAAGCCCACTAAAATTCCTCATCAACCCAGGTCTGCACAACCTGACCTCATTACTCAAACTGGCCACCAGGTACGTACTTCAAAGTTATATTCATAGTACTTAATCAATAATTATTTTAATTCAGTAGCTAACTAGCTAGCATTTAAGCGAACGCATAGATAGTGAAGGAAATTAAAGAAGCTTAGTTACTTTAATTACTAATTTCAGCTGTAGCTTTAACTCTCTTGGTTGCTTCTATAATTAATTTGTTCTGACAGATAATATTTGTTTTTCTTGCTTGGAGTCTTTATTAGCATGCGATAGTATATGTGGAAGGAGATAAGTATTATGGAGCTAAGGCCACCATTAACGTTTGGGAGCCCAAAACTCAGCAGCCTAACGAATTCAGCTTGTCTCAAATCTGGATCCTTGGAGGTACTTTTGGTCAAGATCTTAACAGCATTGAAGCTGGATGGCAGGTAGTTATTTTATCTTAAGTTAATTAATATTCTTTTTAAAAAATCATACATTATTATTACCATCAATCTGTATATATTATCTTGCTTGGTCTTTAATTATACCTCTGTAAATAACAGGTTAGTCCAGATCTATATGGAGATAACAGAACAAGACTCTTCACATATTGGACAGTAAGTACTACTAACTAATGAATTTGTCTTCGTTATTTTTAAGTATTATTTCTTGTTTTCATGATCAGTACCTTCATTTATTAAACATTAATAATGGGTTGGCCAGACTTTTAATTACTTATAATGGAGTAATTAATGTTGATTGATTGTCTTGTGACAGAGTGACGCCTATCAAGCCACAGGTTGCTACAATCTGCTGTGCACAGGCTTTATTCAAATCAACAATGAAATAGCGATGGGTGCAAGCATCTATCCTGTGTCTGGCTACCGTGGCTCCCAGTATGATATCAGCCTTCTTGTTTGGAAGGTAGACGAGTATAATTTAAGAAACATGTAAATTGATCTACCTGCATTTGTGTTTTGAAAATTAAATAAACGAAACGCAGAGAATCTCTGACATATAAATGGCGCAATGCATGTCTTTATCGTATTATGCATGCATCTTATGATGTTGTTTTCCTTCAAAATATTTGAGACCAGACTGTACCTGCATGTGAGTTGGCATTCAGTAATGTTCTCTGTGTTGTCTGTAGGACCCGAAAGAGGGAAACTGGTGGATTCAATTTGGGAATGACTACGTGCTAGGATACTGGCCAGGCTTCCTCTTTTCCTACTTGACAGACAGCGCAACGATGATAGAGTGGGGAGGTGAGATTGTAAACTCAGAATCAGATGAGCAACACACAACAACTGAAATGGGGAGCGGGCATTTCCCTGAAGAAGGGTTTGGAAAAGCTGGCTACTTCAGGAATATTCAAATTGTTGACGGATCCAATAGTCTCAGAGATCCTAAAGGGCTTGGCACTTTTACCGAGCAATCCAGTTGCTATGATGTCCAGAACGGCAGGAGTGGTGATTGGGGCACCTACTTTTTCTATGGTGGCCCTGGAAGAAACCCCAATTGCCCATGATCGACGACGACGATGTCCTCATCCATCCCTTTTTTCTTTTTTCTTCGTGTCTCTGTATTAGTACGAGTAAACTGTACATCATTTCTTATTCTTTAGGCTAGGGAGCTAAGGTGTACGTGAGCCTTTCTTTCCTTCTGCATGTGCGGTGTGCTGACTAGCTGGTTTCCACTCCCTCCAGATATTCCTTATTTAAGTTGTGGTATGAGGTAGAAGAAAGAGAAGAGTGATCAGTTTCTTTAACTCAAGAAATTGGATTATCATTTCTGTCAATCAACTTGTTTACGTATATTATGCTGTCATTGACTGCTTTCTCCATTAATTCTTTGGAGTGCAAATATATAATTTATTACTTGTCTTTTGTGGTGTCCATTAACTGAAAAGTGGGCCTGTGCGATGATGCTGTGGGACTCTTTGTAAAATATATTTAAATTTTCAATTGAATTCTATCATAAAATATAAATTAATGTGTTAAAATTTAGGTGTATTTTTATTAATTAATTAGAAATTAGTTTAAAACTTCACTGATGAAACTTTTAAAGATGATTTTTGAACTTGTCAGATTTGATTTTAAAAAAAAACTCTACAGTTTTATCCCTTCATCAGTTTGAAAAGAAAATCTCACATCCAAAAAATTAACGGTAGCTTTGATTATTATTTTTAACCTAATAGCTTTGATTTTGTGTTAATCGGTGTTTCTTAAGAAAAAATTGTGTTGAAGATGAGGTTGGTTGAATCTAATTGTAGTGCGTTGCTTTTTGACAATTGACAATTCAAACTCTCCCATGGTTTTTGTAGTGGTTGCATTTTTGTGATTATATAAAAGAGAATGCTAGACTTTCTTTTTAGTGACGGGAATTCTGGTGATGGAGAGGATTTCAAGTGATTATGTTCGAGCACTGCTCTTTTTTTTTTTACTTGGGTGAATTTTATTGCTAAAACATAATTATGGAGAAAATTAATTATGCATGAACAATAAATCTTCAACTAGGAGGACTGATAAATTTATTAGACCTTTTTTATTGTAAATTTGGCTATATTATTTATTAAATTTAGCTAGAAGAATTTATAATATATTTATAAATTATAATTTTATTATGATATTTTAAGTTGTATTATAGTTTAAATAATATGTATAGAATTAGTGAAAAATACTGAAAGACTCGTGTGGAGCTCAGAAAAATTCTGTAATAAGTGTTGGGATCGGATTAAGTACTTGAGCTCATTAAAAGTGAATAAATTCAAACACGTTGCTTATACTCACATATATTTATATTAGGTTTGGGGTACACGCTCAAGCATGTTGCCAGAGCCCATGCACCTAGCCAATTATAGGCTTGGGCTATCATGCCTGAGTCAATTTTTCTTTACCCGTAGCTATATATTGGGCTTAAGCTTGATAACCAAAGTTTAAATATGTTTTTTGAGCTTATTTTAGAGGAATTTTTGGGTCTATCTAGGATATTTTTAAGTTTATTTTATTTGAATATATAAGTGCCTAGCAATTTTCTTTCTCCTACTTTATATATATTTATATTTGTATTGTATTGGATTAAAAAAAATATAAATATTGTAGGTGTATCTAATAATACATATAATACTAATGTATATATTTAAGGTTGAGTTTGATACTCTATTCATTATTCCAAGATTGTATTTGTCCAATCCTAAGTTTTTATTATTATTATTATTATTATTTTATTACATATATTTAAATTAGTTTGCGCACAACTCGACTAATTTCACAGCCCGAGCCTGAAGCACTCTTCCAATCCTAAGCTTTAGATGTATTGTTAATGGTCAATCAAGCATTGCTGGTTGACAAATTTAGCTTTAAATATTACATGAACGATGGCAATGTTCCCGTCAATTTGCCAGTAGTTATTTAATGCAAGTGCTTACGATGATGTTGAGATCCGATGGACTGGAAGAGTGCTTCTTCTTCTTGTTTTTTGGGAGATCTCATCATGTATGTGTATTTATTCAGATGGCCATGTCGTCATTGTTATAGCATTAAAGTTTAAATAGAGATAAAAGAGAGGGAGAGAGTCTTTTCCGTATTAAAAATAGATAAATAGGTCAAAGATAAGTGGATTAAGAGTGAGTTTACTCATTTTAACCATAATAATAATGGTATCTTTATTTACTGGAGAAAACGCACTGGGCATTCCAGCTTAAAACAAAGGAGGGGAAGCTTCCCATACACACAGGCAGACATGAATGAAATGAGGTACAACTATTCTATTTCACTCGAAATATATAGGAGCACATGGATCGGAAAGCATTCACCAGAGCATTTCCATTTCAACTAAGTAATCCTGCAAAAGGAACAAATTTTGGTTAACATAGAGATGTATAGGTAGCTGCAGTGAAAAGAAAAGAGCAGACATTGATGGAAGTCATCAGAGTGAGAGAGTTGGCAATTGTATCTTACTTGGAACAATCAACATTGGGTGAAACGGTGAAAGGCAAGGTGATTCCACAGTTAGCCGGAAGAGCCTGTGCTAACTGGGGCTTTGGGTTCATTTGCTTGGAAGCTGACTTGATGCAGTTACAAGCTGATTGCTTGTCAGCCGTGGTTGATGCAGCAGCTTGAATAGATGAGATTCCCGAACAGCACGCAGCAGGTGGTTTCCCAGTGCCATTCATGAGGTAGTTCACACAAGGCCTCAGGTCCTTGATTACATCACTGCAAGAAATTGCAGCATCAGAAGGTGGAGTGACTAAAAGAAACATCATGAGAGCAGCCATGGCTGCCGCTGCTATACTTGGAGAGTTCATGGAACCGGAGGAGGTGAGATAAGACTAACTTGGAGCATTTCCCTTTACACTTGTTTCAATTTTATAGGGAACCTGGAGGGATACTCACATATACACGAAAGGTTAGAAAATTCTAAAATTGCAATGATTCAGTTGCTAATGAGTGCAAGAAAATAAAAAGAAGAAATGATCCAAACAAAGGAGTATAAAATTCAAATTAGGTGGGACTAATGAAGAAAATTGTCCCATATTAACTCATGCAAGAATGTCTGCAATACTAATTTCCTGAAACAAGACTTATTGTTCAATAATCGGCATCAAAAGGGGGCTCTGTCTTCTCCCGAGTCCCTAGTGCCTCAATTTCCCACTAGAGGCTAATCCTGTCGAGCAGTCCGAAAAATTCACTATTTCTGACCACTCCATCCTGAGTAAAAACGTTATTAGTGCTCTACTGAAGGATGAAATACGCAACTGGACGCATCCAGTTGCATTCATAATCCATTAGAGCAAATAACATCCGCAGGCCGAAAACCTAATACGGAATCCAGAAGTAAAGTCAAACCCTGAGTGTAAACATTTTGAGTTAGCACCATATATTATATCTAGTTCCTAGTTAAAAGTATAAAGAACAGAAAATCAATCTGACACTCAGTCTCCTAAAAGGATATCTCAACCATCCATAATTTTTTCTAATAGATTAATCGATAAAGTAAAGCAAGGGCATCAGGCTATTGTCTACGTTTACAACAGCCTGGCGGTTCAGAATTTTCTTTCCTTTGTGTTACTTATGTTGTTCAACTTAGTCGACTAGACATATTATATTACAACACAACAAATATCTTCCCCTACAAGTGGTGGTGTTTGTAGTGCTTGGTTCATCCCATGTGTTGACGATGAAGCAAAAGACTACCAAAACAAATGTCGGTGCAATCAGTGAGATTAGACTGGTTATGTTGCGGACGGGAAACATCATACGTTCATTATAGTGATGTTCTCTTGACTGCAGACAATGCCTGCAAGTATTAACCCAAGGGAATCAATGAGGTCTATATTTGTTACTCTTCCAGTTTCCTTGAAATTATGCCAAGAGGGCGCTAGCTTTTGTCTAAAAGCACATCAATATCACCACAAATCTATTGTTATTGGAGACAACTGCTCTGCTCGATGCACGACGCAATGAGGTCAGAATTTAGATGTATGCTGTCAAAATACTGAAGTGCTGCACTTTCATGAGGATGAACTCTGTTAGAAACTGCAACAATTGACACTGCTTTAAATTTCTAACCAGCTGGGCCTTGCATGTATTCTTTTATGTCCATTGATTCTTGAACCTTCTTCATTGAATTCTGCATTCAAACAGAAATACAAACAACGCAAAATCTTTGTTACAAAGCATTGGGACAATTCATTCAAAAGAAAATAATACGCAACTTTAAAAATGATTTACTTTAGCCTTGAGTAATGTTGCCAAAATGATTAGCAGAATTACCTATACCCTTTTTTAAATTAAGTTCACAATTACCATATTGTCACCTACTTGAAATTTATAGCATGCAGATCCCTTGATCTTACTTAAGGTTAATAGGTTAGTGTATATACGATCTAATCAATCAATTAATTATATATAAAATTTACTTTATTCATGTAAATATATTTACTTTATTTATAAAAAATTATTTATATTTAATATTCATCAAATATTCAATTAATAAATTAAATATTTGATTAATAAATCTAGAGTAACAATAAAGTTTCTAGGACAAAAATTCTTTGTAAATAAAATTATAAAATTGTTATAATTATAAAATTCCTATTGCATCAAAGTATTGTTTCTAATAAATATTCTTAGTTAATATTTTATTAAGATTAGATATTAAGTAGAGCTATTGAGACTGATACAGGTTATGTTTTTTTTTCTTTATAAAAAGAAGTAATTGTCCTCATAAGTTGGAGGATAAAGAATACCTAGAACTAATATGTTGATGCTTATCATATGACATATTCACCAAATTGACTCTCATGAGAATTTCATATGAAGAGATCATCTGTATTTATGAAAAGGCTCATGTAATGATTGTGCAAGCAATCCGTAGACTTGAGGTCATTGAGTTATTTTAGATAAAAGATGTTATGTTTAGATCCTGCTATACATTGTCCTAATCAATGATAACAAATGAACAGATATTGAGTATATCATGAGCTATATGAAAGTGTATAAGTAATCAAGAGATAATTAATCACTCTTTGTGAATTAGAAAAAATATTTTATATATTCTTAAATAATATTAATTGTAAATCTTTGAACAATGTAGAATGAGATTTGTAAAGAGTTTCAAATCTCATAAAAAAAGTCAACAATTATGGTGTTAAAAACAAATATGATTTGACATAGTCGACACACTTTATGCTATAATGTCTAAATTGAAAAATTATTGATGAAGAGATAATAATTACACTGATAAACTGATCACTGAAATGTTAAATCAAACTACTTATGACTTTTCTAATACTTGATTTTCAAATATAAATCAATCAATTATTGAATTGATAATAACTTAATTAATTTAATCTTATTTTATTAATGATTATGATTTATATTTGGATCAACTTATTAGAAAACTTAATGGGTCACACTTATAAAAATTATTGATCAAAAATTAAAATAGAATGATTAATCAAGTATGAATTGATTATAAATAAGTTTTAGAAATTAAGGACTAGATTGTAATTTATATAGAAAATTACAATTCTAAATCTAGAAAAATTAAGTTGGAACTTGATTGAATAAATTTTTAAAATTATCTTGAAATAATATATATAATATTATTAGGGGGCAAATTGATATTTTATCATTTATAGAGTTTTTATATTTTTCTATAAATAAAAAGTTATGTTTCTTATTTTTTAAGGGGTGATGTAAGTAGAGTATAGTACATAAATACATAAAACACAAAAGAAAAGAGTTAACATTTTAAGGTATAACAATCTCTCTTTTAAAAGAGTTTAAGATATTTTTCAGTAGAAGTTCGCGTGGATTATCATTGGAGACCGGATAATTAGATAATTTGTGGTTTTCAACAACTGAAACAAATATTTAAAATAAAAAACAACATCTAATCTTCGGGTAATCTTCACATAAAACCTTAAAACAACTCTAAATTTATTTAATGAACTTATTGAAACTCTAAAAAAATTAATTATTGTTTTTATTGAGTATATATATTTTAACGAAAAAACGAAAGTGAGGGTGGAATCTAATACCAATTCTTAAAATGAACAAGTTAGCAAATACAATAATTACCGTATTGTTTTCATAGCAAACAGAGAATCTCTTTCTACAGCTTTCTAACGAAAGTAAGGCAACAAAACTTCATCTACGAATGTTGAGGTTTCTACTTAGGAAGTTTCCTTCGTTTATTTATTTCTTTTCCATTTTTTTTCTCTGGATTGAATTTTTTCTGTTGTTTTTTATGCAAGCATATAACCTCAAGACACCAAACAGAGAACAGGCTACATCAAGTAGATGAACATGTCTTGGAGGAGTTTAAAAAGGAAAGACATTTGATTAGCGTCAATTACTAGAACATAAATACAGTGTATTACTCCAAGCAATTCTGAAGCATCTTACAGACAATTAACACAACTGGTTTCCACCAGAAGGAATGAATGTGCAAATGCGAAAGGAGACAATAATTTTCTGTCTCCAAAGTGGAAAATATAAGGAGATATATATGTAACTACTGAATAGAATCATAGATTAAATAAACGAAAGACGCATTAACTTGAAACTACTCCATTCCATTCTGTCTTCGAAGGAAGCATTAACTTGAAAATCCATTCTGTCTTCGAAGGAAAAAAAAAACATTTCAAAATAAATTTTATTACGGTAACTCTTAAATAAGTTCACACACAAATCCATATCCAGCATATCTATGTTCTGATAGCAGAAATGTCTATCGATTTGGACATTCAATTTCAGAAAATTACAAGGTCAACAAAAATCCCACACTTATCTAATCACTTGGATGAACTGTGTTGCACATGCCAGGGTTCTTGATGCACCAGAGAGGCTGAAGTGGTTCAGCTCTGATTCCTTTGTTGACCATTCTATGTCTCCACTCATTTAAACGATCCATTGCCTCTGCATATCTCTTCTTTCCTGACTCATCCCTGTTCCCTGACCATAAAGTCTCAGCCATTGCTGAAGCTCTTGGCCAAATCCGCACGTCCAAAACTGTTGGGTCTGCTTGCTCTGACCATAATGCTACTTCACCCCCTAGCACCAATTTGGTTTCCTCCGGAGTCAACCCATATGCTATGTCATAGTTATATATGGTTTGCCATGTTTTGAAAGGTCCACACCATGATCCACCATTGCCACTGCCACCACGGTCCACACCATGATCCACCATTGCCACTGTCATCACTTGTTGGTGGTGGATCATATTGGCTGTCATTCCCAGGAAAATCGCCGTGGCCACAATCCAAATAATAAAACTCTGAGGATGAGACAATAGCTCTGTAACCAGAAGAAACAATCAGTTTTGTGTTGTTGGGACCTTTATTCCATGTCTGTAGGATAGTATGCTCAGGTGGAAGAAATGAAGGGTCCACCTTGACATCAGCATCCAACAAAATATCTTCCCAGTAAACCACCGTGCGATTGAGGGACACAATGTAAGGGAAGGTTGTGTTCACAAATTTCTCAAGGAGTTGACTGAGAGTTCCATTTTTGGATAGGAAGGACTGAATGGCCGGGTCAGCTTTCCAACAGCCTGGGATGATTTCATCACCTCCAGCATGGAAAAACCGTTCAGGAAACAAGGCAACTGCATCACCAATCACATTTTTTAGAACTTGGTAGGTATTTGGGTTCAAAGGATTTAGCTGGCCAGTTCCTGGTTCTGATGCAAGCCGGTCAGCCCATTCACTTTCAGCCGGCCACCAGAACATGTTTGCGCAAGTCACGATATCTGGATAGGCTTCAGCCCACGATCCTGTATGTGCTGCAATTACCAATAATTCCTATAAGTCAGGTCTTTCAAATAGCCTTTGAATCAAGAACCAGATAAAAAAAGGATGATATATTCACT